TGAATGGAGAGAGCAATCCTGTCCTGGTTATTTATTTTGGGAAAAAAAAAAAAAAAAAAAAGGGTTAACCATGGGACATTACATATAACTCAAAACCGACCAAATGTAAAGTAGTTTACAAGGCGGGTGCTCTGGTCTTTATCACCCTTTCCTGTAACAGATCATTTCTTTCTGAAAATTAATGTCTGATAAAAACTAACAAACAAAAAAAAGAAGAGATGCAATTCCACGGGCAGAGTATGAAGCTGGTGAGATGTGAATAAGGAATGCTGAACAGCTCAGCAGGACCATTATCTATTTGTTTATTAAGTTTTCCAGTATAGTAGATTGATCTGAAAATAACAGAATGTTTATGAAGCATGAAGCATTGCCTAAGCTTTCAATTAAAATGAAATAAAACAAAATGCTGGATATGTGTTCTTTGTAGGAAATCTCATTAGAGCATTGGTCATCACAGCCAGGCATGGCCTCATTGCCTGTCCTGTTACTCCAGCTCACTGCCCACTGGCTCAGATCAGGCACCAGTGTAAGTAATGCAGCCTTCGCTAACATGGGCTTTGTTCTCCAGGGTGTAACATATCACAGTGATCTTTCAAGAGAAAGGCCAGCACTATGACCCCACTTTATAGATGAAAAAAATAAAGTACATCAACTGGCTTACCATAGGATCCACTGTAAAAATTAGGAATAGCACATAAAGTTCAGGAAACAATGTTGACCCCCTGAAACACTTAGCATCTCTGTGCTTGTACTTTTGTGGTATCTTTTTTTTTTTGCCAGGGGCTTGAGCTCAGGGAGGGAAATGGAGAAAAGAAGAGAGCATTAAATGAAGAAGAGTGGGAGAGTGCAAGTCGGGGAATGGAACACACCATTGATACATGCTGATAGCTGGACGTCAGGGAGCACTGAGCAAAGCACAGCAGGGCATGGGCAGTGGGAGATAGCATGGGAGCTGCGATACTGTGATTTATAATAAGAAATATATATTTGCTTTTCATCCCTGTTTCTGGCACAGAGATCCTAAAACCCTTGGAATTTCCTAATTGATAAGAGCAATAAAGATGTCTTGTTATTCCTAACAAGCCCCTCTCAACCGTACCTTAGTTTATGTTACCGAGGTGACTTTCAGATAGCCCCTAAATGTAGGTGCTGGTTGCCAGGAGAACCAACCAGGTGATTAAAGGTTTGGAACTTTCAGCCCCACCCCTGATCTCCAGGGAACGGAGAGGAGCTGAAGATGGGAGTTCATTCACCAATGACCAAAGATTTAATCAATCAAGCCTACGTAATAAAGCCTCCATAAAACCCCAGAACAAAGGGATTCGGAGAGCTTCCGGGTGAACATGTGGAGATTTGGGGAGAGGGCATGGAAGCTCCACGCCCCTTCCCACATACCTTGCCTTATTTTCTTCCATCTGGCTGTTGCTGAGTTATATCCTTTTATAATAAACGGTAACCTAATCAGAAAAATGTTTTCCTGAATTCTGTGAGCTGCTCTAGCAAATTAATCAAACTTGAGGAGGGGGGCATGAGATCCTCTGATCTATAGATGGTGGGTTCAGAAACACAGGTAACAACCTGGACTTGTGATTGGCACCTGAAGTGGAGGGAGGTGGGGGCAGTCTTTTAGGGCTGAACCCCTAACCTGTGGGATCTAACACTATCTCCGAGAACATAGTGTCAGCATTGAGTTAACTGCAGGATACCCAGCTGGGGTTGTGGAGCTGCTTGATGTGTGGAAAACCTACAGGTCCAGTGTCAGAAGTGAAGTTGTGTTGTACATGGAAGAGTGTGAGAGGAAAGAGGCCACACGGGAGGGGGGTATTTTCCTTTACAGGAACTTTGACTCTCCTCTCAAGAGCCAAACAAAGGGAAGAGCTGCAGGGTCGGTTTAATTTTCAAGGTCCAGGAAAAGTTAAAAATAAATATATGAAGAAATGAAGAAATGAATGAATGAACGAGTCTAAATTTGTCTACAAGCAATCAGAACCAGAACCAGCAGCCAAAGCCAGTATTATGGTCATTTTCTGTTCTTAGCTTTAATGGTTTTTGTATGTTTGCTTGCTTGCTTGTTCTTGGCCTAGTAAAATCTCACTAAGCTACATACCAGGGCTACTTAGCTTTGGAGTCTCTTCACTATTGTCTGTCTTAAAATCACTTCTACTTTTCCCAGTCCTCTGGAAACATGAACTGCATTGAAGTCATTTGTAGGCCAAATTCCCATTATACTTGGAGAAATTCCAGTTGTGGACAGTTTTCACCACCCACAGCCAGTGGAAAAATTACACATGAATAGTGCATATTTATAACCTGAAATGGCTCCAGGTACAGAATAGAGCCTCATATTTCCCATTTTCTATTTTTCCTAGCGTTAGGATGAGATTTCTCCTCTTTTCTAAAGAAAGCAATGACTCAGTAGTGAAGTTTTAAAAATAACGAACCATCGATCCATGAAGCCAAAATAGAACTCCTTCTCCTTCTCCTGAACTTCATTCTTCTCGTCTTGTTCATGAACCACAGTGGAGTTTAGTTGGAATACTGTGTTAGGAGCCAAGGAGAAGTGAAGCAACTGTGTTTCAGGCCTGGCTCAGCCAGTGAGCAGCTGTGTGATCTTGAGCAAAGCCAGTTACCTTGGAGTAGGACTCTGTGTTATATCAAGGTAGTCCCAGCTCCAGAAGAGCATGCTATACAAGTAGGCAGCTCTGGTTTAGACTCTACCACTTCCTAAAGATTGAACTTGGGCAAGCTGCTCAACCATCTCTCCTTCCATTTCCTCAAATGAACAGACCTCAAAAGGGTTGGTGAGGACTCGATGGTATAAGGCTTCTAAAGAGCTTACAAAGGCACCTGGCATACAGTAAGCACCCTTGGCTTTTGGCTATTATGATATGCATATGCATATATGATAATTATGCATTATTATCATATGATATTATGATAATGCTTAATCATCTCCAATAGCAGTAATTTCCTGTGTGCCTGGTGTGTGTTTTTAGCCAGGTACTTTACTAACCCACAGACTGGGTAAGTAATGATTTGGAGCAATCGGCACTGGAGGTAGGTTTAGGGAGGAGAGTCTGGCTGACTGCTATCGGGTTATTTTTCTTTCTTTTATGACCCATAACCAGTACTCACTGCAGTGGTATGTATTCATAAACTGCTATCCCGGAGAGCTGGAAGGGAAGTTGCTCTTTAAAGGCCTCTCAGAGTGTCTGGATTGGCATTTTGTGGTTACTACACAGAAATAAACTGTCGGAGAAGTGTCAATATAGCTAGTGTGGTCTGCTTTGGTGTGTCAGACCTGTTCCAGGTATTTGGGGTAGATGGGGCCAAATAAATAAATAAATAAATAAAAGAAAAGCTAAGCTATTTTAATCCTAGAAGTACTTTAGGTTCATTCAGGCATCTAAGGCAACCACAATATGAAATAATGAGGTCTTCTAAAACAATGTATATCTATGCATATGATATTATTGAGCTAAGTATAATCGTACATTTGAAGGGATATTCTAGGACAGGGAGTTTCAGTGAAGTATGAATTTTCAGGAAATCTTTATGCTTAACATAGATTTCTGCACAGGTACTTGAGGGAAGCGTGGAATTTGTAGAGTATGTAGAAGGGATGGAGAATTAAAAAAAAAAAAGAGATTTAAAAAATGAACATTCCAGAGGCAGAATCTGCAGCATATATATGTGTATGTGTGTGTGTGTGTATACACACACACACACACATATATATATATACACACACATATATATACACACAATGAGGTGCTATGGAGGTCTTTACTAGCTAAAGGACAGGCATAATATCTGTTAGGTTAGGGGGTACACATGGGTCCCACATTTCAGATTTTTGGTTTTACTCCATAAGGTATTAATGAGACATTACTGAATTCTGTACAAGGAAAAAATATACTAAAGTAAGTGAAGAATCCAATAATTGAACCATAGGAAATTGCTGATATTTCACCATTTTTGCCCTACTGAAAGGGTAATTTCCTGTGGTTCTATCTAATATCCTAAAATCAATCTGCCAGTTGACTAAGAGACAGGGAGATTAACTCGGAGGCTAAATACATTATATAGAGGTACAATCTCATGGGCTTTGAAAAAAGTGGATATTTGGGACAAGGAGAGAAGAGAGAATTTTACTGACACATTTTTGCTTGAGTTTTCTTAACGTCTATTTTCTATTTCTTTTTTGGTCTTATTCTTGGGGAAAGCAAAGCATTTGCTTTCTCCCATATTTTGGGTCCATTTATGATGATTCTGATCTCTTAGCTGCTTAACCTGTAGACCCTCTACGGAACACTGCAAGGCCCCTTCTTGGCGAAGCAGCCAGTATGAGCTTAGTTTCCTAGGCTAGGACTCTTATGCTGCATTTGATATGTGAACTGAAAAATGCATGGATAAGCACAGTTACTGAAAACAAACTTTCAGTCTCATTATCAAAGCTCTTTGTTGGATTTGGAAAAATGCTGTAGGTCCAAGGAAACCAAATCTTCTAGGGATATTCTTGGTTTTAAATATTTTAGAAAAAAAGAAAACAAACCACTTGTTCTTATCTAAGAAGGCTTGTGAGGCCTCATCCTCGGAATAGTCAAATTTAGGAGTTATGTAAGGATGTATGTATAATTAATAAAATAAGGATATATAGCTACTCAAATGTTTTCGGCTTTCAAAAATGATTATGGGTTCTATTTGGAGCTTAGGAAAAAGTTAATTTCTTTGAACCATTTCAACCCACTTTTAATTCTGTGGTATAGACATACAATATACAGCGTGACAAAATTAGGTCACCAACTGACGTATATACAGTCAAGTGAAATGCTTACAAAGTTATACCAAAAATAATACCATCCAAGCTTGTAGAATTGGGATGGCAGAATATGTATGATTTTTTTTTAACTTTTTAGTTACATCAATTGTACATAATGCCAAAGATTTGTACCTGTGGTAATCTGCTTGATCTCTTTTTTCCTCTGGCCTAAATATAGCACTGACTTCCTTGCCTCCTATGGAAAATATGGATTTCCTGTTGTTGCTCTGGTCAATAACTCTGAAAACAACACAGCACAACAAATACCTTGGCTAACCCACTTGCTAAAAGGTAAGTGGGGAAAAAATGGTCATCCCCCTGTGTGTGTGTGTGTGTGTGTGTTTGTGTGTGTGTGTGTCCATGCTTTCTCTTTACATGTTCACCGTAACATGTCTCCTCCCCCTCTTTCTCTCTCTCTCCTCTTAATTAACAGAAAAGAAAGAGGGAATAAATGACAAATGGAGGAACTTCTCTATCTAATAATATAGGATCATCCATTAGTCAGACCCACAAGCTCGAAGTGAGTTCCACAGCTCTGCCTGGCCCTGATATCTTTGGGAGGGTCTGTGCCAACCTCCCTCTTTTTTGCTGACGCATTAAGCTCTGAGTGGTCCTTCACAGGCTGAGTGAAACGGATTTAAAGCTTGGCCCAGAGCCACTTAGCAGTTTGGAAACGTTGCACTCATAGCCAGAAGAACAACTAAAAATACGATTGCACTTTTTGCTTCATATTTCCCTCACCCATCTTAGCATCGGACTATTGTTTGTTTAATGGTTCATGATTATTGCTTTGTGTCACCTGCTTGATTCTGAGCTCCTAGAAGTCAGAGCCTCGCCAGCCACTTTGCATCCTTCACAGTGTATTGTGCGGACATTAAATAAACATTAAAATTCCCCAACGGTGGAATGATAGAGAAAGAAAGAAAAACATAAGAGGAAGATACAAGAAACTGGAGGTGAAGTTGTGACATAAGACGGAGGCAGTCTGGGGAATGTACCCAGAAAGAAGAAAGACACAACAGCATCCCGGTGGTTGGGGGCCAGTGGAGAGCGATATTTAATTAGAGATGTTTTCCTTTAGTTCTTCCTCCTTCTGGTTCCCTATTCATCTCCTTGTCCTCCGCCCTTTCTCTTTCTCTATGAATAGCCCCCAAAGAAAGCTAAGCAACAAGAGTGGACAAGAGCTCAACAGTGCGGCTGCCCTGCAGGTTACAGGTGTGGAGAAACCTGGGCAACATTAGGCTCTCTCTCTTTTTTATTTTTTGGTGATTGATTGATTTTTTTTAACATCTTTCTTGGAGTATAATTGCTTTAAAATGGTGTGTTAGTTTCTGCTTTATAACAAAGTGAACCAGCTATACATATACAGATATCCCCATATCTCTTTCCTCTTGCGTCATCCTCCCACCTTCCCTATCCGACCCCTCTAGGTGGTCACAAAGCACTGAGCCAATCTCCCTGTGCTATGTGGCTGCTTCCCACTAGCTATCTATTTTACACTTGGTAGTGTGTATATGTCCATGCCACTCTCTCACTTCGTCCCAGCTTACCCTTCTCCCTCCCTGTGTCCTCAAGTCCATTCTCTATGTCTTTATTCCTGTCCTGTCCCTAGGTTCTTCAGAACCATTTGTTCTTTTTTTAGACTCCATATTCATGTGTTAGCATATGGTATTTGCTTTACTCTTTCTGACTTGCTTCACTCTGTATGACAGACTCTAGGTCCATCCACCTCACTACAAATAACTCAATTTTGTTTGTTTTTAAGACTGAGTAATATTCCATTGTATATATGCGCCACATCTTCTTTATCCATTCAACTGTCAATGTACACTTAGGCTGCTTCCATTTCCTGGCTATTGTAAATAGAGCTGCAATGAACATTGTGGTACATGACTCTTTTTTTTTTTTTTAACATCTTTATTGGAGTATAATTGCTTTACAATGGTGTGTTAGTTTCTGCTTTATAACAAAGTTAATCAGCTATACATATACATATGTTCCCATATCTCTTCCCTCTTGCGTCTCCCTCCCTCTTACCCTCCCTATCCCACCCCTCTAGATGGTCACAAACCACCGAGCTGATCTCCCTGTGCTATGTGGCTGCTTCCCACTAGCGATCAATTTTACATTTGGTAGTGTATATATGTCCATGCCACTCTCTCACTTTGTCACAGCTTACCCTTCCCCATCCCCATATCCTCAAGTCCATTCTCTAGTAGGTCTGTGTCTTTATTCTCGTCTTACCCCTAGGTGCTTCATGACATTTTTTTTTTCTTAGATTCCATATGTATGTGTTAGCATACAGTATTTGTTTTTCTCTTTCTGACTTACTTCACTCTGTATGACAGACTCTAGGACCATCCACCTCACTACAAATAACTCAATTTCATTTCTTTTTATGGCTGAGTAATATTCCATTGTATATATGTGCCACATCTTCTTTATCCATTCATTTGTTGGTGGACACTTAGGTTGATTCCATGTCCTGGCTATTGTAAATAGAGCTGCAATGAACATTCTGGTACATGACTCTTTTTGAATTATGGTTTTCTCAGGGTATATGCCCAGTAGTGGGATTGCTGGGTCATATGGTAGTTCTATTTTTAGTTTTTTCAGGAAGCTCCATGCTGTTCCCCATGGTGACTGAATAAATTTACATTCCCACCAACAGTGCAAGACGGTTCCCTTTCCTCCACACCCTCTCCAGCATTTATTGTTTGTAGATTTTGTGATTGTGGCCATTCTGACTGGTGTGAGGTGATACCTCATTGTAGTTTTGATTTTCATTTCTCTAATGATTAGTGATGTTGAGCATCCTTTCATGTTTGTTCGCAATCTGTATAATCTTCTTTGAAGAAATGTCTATTTAGGTCTTCTGCCCATTTTTGGATGGGGTTGTTTGTTTTTTGGATATTGAGCTGCATGAGCTGCTTGTATATTTTGAAGATCAATCCTTTGTCAGTTGCTTCATTTGGAAATATTTTCTCCCATTCTGAGGGTTCTTTTTTCATCTTCTTTATGGTTTCCTTTGCTGTGCAAAAGCTCTTAAGTTTCATTAGGTCCAGTTTGTTTATTTTTGGTCTTATTTCCATTTCTCCAGGAGGTGGGTCAAAAAGGATATTACTGTGATTTATGTCATAGAGTGTTCTGCCTATGTTTTCCTCTAAGAGTTTTATAGTGTCTGGCCTTACATTTAGGTTTTAATCCATTTGGAGTTTATTTTTGTATATGTGTTAGGGAGTGTTCTAATTTCATTCTTTTACATGTAGCTGTCCAGTTTTTCCAGCATCACTTATTGAAGAGGCTCTCTTTTCTCCATTGTATATCCTTGCCTCCTGTATCAAAAATAAGGTGACCATATGTGCATGGGTTTATCTCTGGGCTTTCTATCCTGTTCCATTGATCTATATTTCTGTTTTTGTGCCAGTACCATACTGTCTTGATTACTGTAGCTTTGTAGTGTAGTCTGAAGTCAGGGAGCCTGATTTCTCCAGGTCCGTTTTTTGTTTCTCAAGACTGCTTTGGCTATTGGGGCTCTTTTGTGTCTCCATACAAATTGTAATTTTTTTTTGTTCTAGTTCTGTGAAAAATGCCATTGGTAGTTTGATAGAGATTGCATTGAATCTGTAGATTGTTGTGGGCAGTACAGTAATTTTCACAATGTTGATTCTTCCAATCCTAGAACATGGTATCTCTCTCCATCTGTTTGTATCATCTTTAATTTCTTTCATCAGTGCCTGATAGTTTCCTGCATACAGGTCTTTTGACTCCCTAGGTAGGTTTATTCCTAGGTATTTTATTCTTTTTGTTGCAGTGGTAAATAGGAGTGTTTCCTTAATTTCTCTTTCAGATGTTTCATCATTAGTGTATAGGAATGCAAGAGATTTCTGTGCACTAATCCTGCCACTTTACCAAATTCATTGATTAGCTCTTAGTAGTTTTCCTGTAGCATCTTGCTTTGGGATTCTCTATGTATAGTACCATGTCATCTGCAAACAGTGACAGCTTTACTTCTTCTTTTCTGATTTGGATTCCTTTTATTTCTTTTTCTTCTCTGACTGCTGTGGCTAAAACTTCCAAAACTATGTTGAATAATGGTGAGAGTGGACAGCCTTGTCCTGTTCTTGATCTTAGTGGAAATGGTTTCAGGTTCTCACCACTGAGAACGATGTTGGCTGTGGCTTTGTCATATATGACCTTTATTATGTTTAGGTAAGCTCCCTCTACGCCTACTTTCTGGAGGGTTTTTATCATAAATAGGTGTTGAATTTTGTCAAAAGCTTTTTCTGCATCTGTTGAGATGATTATATGTTTTTTCTCCTTCAATTTGTTAATATGGTTTATCACACTGATTGATTTGTGTATATTGAGGAATCCTTGCATTCCTGGGATAAATCCCACTTGATCATGGTATATGATCTTTTTAATGTGCTGTTGGATTCTGTTTGCTAGTATTTTGTTGAGGATTTTTGCATTTAAGCTCATCAGTGATATTGGCCTGTAGATTTTTTTTTTTTTTTGTGGCATCTTTTTCTTGTTTTGGTATCAGGGTGATGGTGGCCTCGTAGAATGAGTTTGGGAGTGTTCCTCCCTCTGCTATATTTTGGAAGAGTCTGAGAAGGATAGGTGTTAGCTCTTCTCTAAATGCTTGATAGAATTTGCCTGTGAAGCCTTCTGGTCCTGGGCTTTTGTTTGTTGGAAGATTTTTAATCACAGTCTCCATTTCAGTTCTTGTGATTGGTCTGGTTTTATTTTCTATATCTTCCTGGTTCAGTCTCAGAAGGTGGTCCGTTTCTTCCAGGTTGTCCATTTTATTGGCATAGAGTTGCTTGTAGTACTCTCTCACGATCCCTTGTATTTCTGCAGTGTCAGTCGTTACTTCTCCTTTTTCATTTCTAATTCTGTTGATTTGAGTTTTCTCCCTTTTTTTTCTTGATGAGTCTGGCTAATGGTTTATCAATTTTGTTTATTTTCTCAAAGAAACAGCTTTTAGTGTTATTGATCTTTCTATTGTTTCCTTCATTTCTTTTTCATTTATTTCTGATCTGATCTTTATGATATCTTTCCTACTGCTAACTTTGGGTGTTTTTTTGTTCTTCTTTCTCTAATTGCTTTAGGTGTAAGGTTAGGTTGTTTATTGAGATGTTTCTTGTTTCTTGAGGTAGGATTGTACTGCTATAAAATTCCCTCTTAGAACTGCTTTTGTTGCATTCCATAGGTTTTGGGTTGTCATGTTTAAATTGTCATTTGTGTCTAGGTATTCTTTGATTTCCTCTTTGATTTCTTCAGTG